TTAACCACTGGACCACCAGTGAAATCCTAGCCCTAGATCTTTTTCATGTGACTCCTTGGTTGATGGCACTTGGACCCCAACACTTGGAAGGCCCTCTCTAGCCAGAAGCAACTTTTACTTCACCCTGGAAATATGGGCAGGTGGGCACAGAGCTGAGTCCCTGGGGTGGAATCCTCTGTAGGCTAGCTATGTGTCAGGCACTGTATGAGGCCTCTACATGAGTTAATTCCTTTAACCTTAATGACAGTTTTCTAAAATATGTATTATTATCATCCTCAGTTCACAGATAGGTATGCAGTAGCTTCCTCTCTAATGGAAAATTCCCAAAGCTCTGTGAAACAATCAGGTCCTACCCAGGTGGGCGGGGTCATCTGTGGGTTCAATAAACTATGTCACAGGTCACATCAAAGAGTCAAGTTTACAGCAAACTTATGTCCTGTGATTGAATGCATTTCACAAAAATGGGCAAAATAATATTTTTCATCCCATATGTTCTTCTAATAATGTGACTCTGACACCCTTCCCTGTGAAAGGTGGTGTCTGTTTCTTCCACTTGAACCTATGCAAGATTGTGACTACAATGAAAATAATATATGGCTTTTGAGGCGGGATCATAAAAAGCTGTACCACGTCTAGCTGGTTCTCCTGGGACACTTGATCTTGACCCCCCAAGCACCATGCTTATGTCCTGTGATTGAATGCATTTCACAAAAATGGCCAAAGTAATATTTTTTATCCCATATTTTCTTCTAATAATGTGACTCTGACACCCTTCCCTGTGAAAGGTGGTGTCTGTTTCCTCCACTTGAACCTATGCAAGATTGTGACTACAATGAAAATAATATATGGCTTTTGAGGCGAGATCATAAAAAGCTGTACCACGTCTAGCTGGTTCTCCTGGGACACTTGATCTTGACCCCCCAAGCACCATGCTGTGAAGAAGCCCGTGGGCCATGGGAGAGATCCAGACAGCCAGGGGTGAGGCCCAAGGAATACATTTCCATCTGGCTTCCAGCCAACAGCTAGAACCAACTCCCCAACTATTTGCATGACACATCTTGAAAGTTGGTCCTCCCATTTCCAGGAAGCCACCCCAGCCAATGAAACGCAGAGTAGAGACGGCAGTTCCCTCCTCAGCCGTGCCCTAATTGCAGAGTCATGTGCAAAGCATTGTTATTGTTTTAAGCCAGTGAGTGTTGAAGAGGTTGGTTTGTTATGCAGTAATAGATATTACTACATGTCTGAATAGTACTTGCTTGTCTCCATAAAATCCAAAGCTGCAGTCCCATAGGTGGGACTTATCCTGAAGGCTCTGACAGTGATCACGTTTTTCCCACAACTTCTGCCGCACTGTTGAGTTGTTTCAGGGGAGGGAGAATACATAGAGTATGTTTATAAACTTCCCCTGATTTCATTTTTTACTGTAACATTTTTAATCTTTTTTAGAATATATTTTAGTTTAAGGCATGATACAGGGATCTAACAACTTTTTGCAAGTTATAACACAACTGTTAATTACATTTTCCATCACTTCATTATTGATTTAAAACAGCACTTTTAATCATGATTTGGGACCCTAAAGTCAATATTATCAAGGCAAAGGTGAGCAAGAAATAAACCTGCTGGAAAGAAGGGGATAGCAAGGAACCTTGTGGATTTTGACATATACACTCAATGAAGAGGGTAAATGTCTGCTAAAAATTCATAACCACAAGCTAGCACTTACATGACTTTGTAGCCTGAATTCACACTATCTTAAAAAAAACAAAACTGAAGCAGAGAACTTACTTCAGTGTCCCTGGGTTACTTACACGCCAAAGAAGTAGCAAACTAAAGTCCTCTCCGCTGCTGCTGCTGCTAAGTCGCTTCAGTCGTGTCCAACTCTGTGGGACCCCATAGACGGCAGCCCACCAGGCTCCCCCACTCCTGGGATTCTCCAGACAAGAACACTGGAGTGGGTTGCCATTTCCTTCTCCAGTGCATGAAAGTAAAAAGTGAAAGTGAAATCGCTCAGTCGTGTCTAACTCTTAGCGACCCCATGAACTGCAGCCGACCAGGCTCCTCTGTCCATGGGATTTTCCAGGCAAGAGTACTGGAGTGGGGTGCCATTGCCTTCTCCTAAAATCCTCTCTGGAGGACAATAATTTCAGTCCATGTCAACCCATGCCTCAAGAATTTCTGCAAATGAAATTCCAAGGAATCCGAAAGCTAATTTAAAAACCACAAAATACAAGGGAACCAGGTACCATAAGTGAAAGAGATACCAGAGGTATCAGAATCAGACACACAACAAATTCAGATAATGAAATCACCAGACACAGAGTATGAATAACTAAGTTGAGTATATTTAAAGAAAAAAAAAAAGAGAGATTGAAAATAATGAGGAAGGAATTAGAGACTATACAAAATGACCAAATCTGAAAAAGAATCACCTAGAACTTTTGGTTTATTTTAGTAAAATAATTAAAACTTAAAACAGTGGAGAAATTAATGGCAGATCAGTCAGAACTAAAGAAGGATTAGCTACTTGGAAGATAGTGAGAAAGAAGAGAGTCTCTGAGGATGGTTAGGAAGAAATTTAAAAAAAAATGGCTAAATGATAAAAGATAAAAGTGAATTCTAACAAACATTTATGGTTCCAGAAGTAGATAAGAGATTAGATTAGTAGATAAGAAAAGAGAAGATTTACAAAAAGATTGATTGTTTAAAAAGAGAATCATAAAAATTACTATTTTTAAAAAATAATTTTGTTTATTATTTTTGGCAGTGCTGAGTCTTTGCAGCTGTGTAGGCTTTTCTCTAGCTGTGGAGAGCGGGGGCTGCTCTTCACTGTGATGCGTGGGCTTCTGGTGGTGGCTTCTCTTGCTGTGGAGCAGGGGCCCTAGGGCACATGGGTCGGTAAAGTAATTTCATGGGCACATGGGCTCAACAGTTGCGACTCCCCGGTTCTCGGGGCTTCCCAGGTGGCGCTAGTAGTAAAGAACCTGCCTGTCAATGCAGGAGACATGAGAGACATGGGTTCGATCCCCGGCTTGGGAAGATTCCCTGGAGGAGGTAACGGCAACCCACTCCAGTGTTCTTGCCTGGATAATTCCACGGACAGAGGGGCCTGGTGGGCTACAGTCCATGGGGCCACAAAGAGCCAGACACGACTGAAGTGACTTAACACACATACCCAGGTTCTAGATCACAGACTTCATAGTTGTGGCACATGGGCTTTGTTGCCCCATGGCACGTGGGATCTTCATGGACCGGGATCAAAGCCATGTTTCCTGCATTGGCAAGCAGATTCTTTACCACTGAGCTACCAGGGAAGCCCGTAAATTTATTAATAGACATAAATCTTCAAACTTAGCATGTCTGTGGTATCTCAAGTAAGATAAATAAAAACATTTCCACATTCAGATGCATCATGGTGAAATACATACCAAAGACTAAAAAAAAAAAAAAAGTTTTTTAAAACAAACATACAAACAAAAAAAAGCAGCTAAGACGAACACTGATTTCCCAATAGCAACAATAGGCTCAAGAGAGGGATATAATATCTCCCATGTGCTGAGTGAAAACAAATGTCAACCTAGAATTATCTATGCAGCCAAAATGCTCTCAAGAAAGAAGCAAAATTAGGAAAATTTTTTTCAGACAAGTAAAAATAGATTTTACTACAATAGACCCTTTCCAAAGGAAATTTTAAAGTCTATATTCATATAATGACTTTAGACAAAAAATGTGACATACAAATTGAAACGATAAAGGAAGATTACAAAAGGATAATATATATGGACAAATCTAAAAAAAAGTCAAATATATAAAATAAATATAATATATACTTTATGGAGAAAAAAGACGAGAACTAAAATACTAGTCAATAATGGCACATAAGTGGGAGAGGGTAGTGATCAGAGTTAAAGCATTCTAGGGTCTAGGGATTGTTCCAAACAAAGGGAAACGATATTGATTAACTTAAATATCATTGAATGAAATGTTAGGTATACAGGTAAAATAGCTGAAGTTACCATAAAATACTAAAATTAAAGGATTGTTATTGTTTAGTTGCTAAGTTATGTCTGACTCTTTGTGACCCGTGGACTGTAGCCCTCCAGGTTCCTCCATCCATGGGATTTCCAAGGCAAGAATACTAGAGTGGGTTGCCATTTCCCTCTCCCGGGGATCTTTCTGACCCAGGGATTGAATCCACATCTCCTGCATTGGCAGGCAGATTCTTTACCACTGAGCCACCTGGGAAGCCAAAATGAAAGGATATAACTTTCAGATTAATCGAGAAAAATGGATTAAAGAAAGAAGAAAAAGTTCAATTAAAAAAAAAAAAGCGGTCAAGGAAAAAGGAAAGAAAGAACACTGTGGAACAGATAGAAAGTAGAAATGAACCTATATACAGCTCTTTTCAGTCAGACTGGGTTTTATTTTTTTTTTCATTTATTTTTATTAGTTGGAGGCTAATTACTTTACAATACTGTAGTGATTTTTGCCACACATTGACATGAAAAATTCCACTAGGGGAACTCCCCTGGTGGTCCAGTGGTTTAGAATCTGCCTTCCCATGCAGGGTACACAAGATCAGTCCCCGTCCTGGGAACTAAGATCCCACACGCTTTGGGGGCAACTAAGCCCGCATTCCAATGAAGAACCCGAGCGCCACAACTAAGACCCAGCACAGCAAACATTTTAAAAAGTTAAAAAAAAAAAAGCAAATCCAGTTATACTTTCCAATTGTAATTTTTACATGACACACATAAAAATAAGGAAAGATGGAAAAAAATGATGGAAAATTTACATCAGGCGATATAAACCAAAAGAAAGTTATTGTAATTAATATATTTATTTCAAATTACTTAATAATTTATTGCAATGATAAAAATTTAATTCCCCTGAGATGCAATCACCACTCATACTTTATATATCTAACAACTTATCTTCAAAGTATATAAATCAAATTTTGACAGAGCTACAAAAGGGGGGAGTTTTCAGACAGCCTCGCCATGGCGGCGATTCCTCCAGACTCTTGGCAGCCGCCCAACGTGTACCTGGAGACCAGCACGGGGATCATCATGCTGGAGCTGTACTGGAAGCATGCTCCGAAGACCTGTAAGAACTTCGCTGAATTGGCTCGTTGAGGTTACTACAATGGCACCAAATTCCACAGAATCATCAAAGACTTTATAATCCAGGGAGGTGACCCAACAGGGACAGGTCGAGGTGGTGCATCTATCTATGGCAAGCAGTTTGAAGATTAACTTCATCCAGACTTGAAATTCACAGGGGCTGGAATTCTCGCGATGGCCAATGCAGGGCCTGACACCAACGGCAGCCAGTTCTTTGTGACCCTGGCTCCCACCCAGTGGCTTGATGGCAAACACACCATTTTTGGCCGTGTGTGTCAGGGTATAGGCATGGTGAATCGAGTTGGAATGGTGGAAACAAACTCCCAGGACCGCCCCGTGGATGATGTGAAGATCATTAAGGCATACCCTTCCGGGTAGACTTGCTGCCCTCTCGGACACACCCAGGTCTTCTGAGATGGCCCCAACAAACCAGTTTGCAGATGACCTAGAATGACACATAACTCTAAACTTCATTTTGGCCTTGCAGATCTGAGGCGCTGAGGAGGCCTGGGGTCTTGGGTGAGTTAGAGATGGAAGTGTATTTTAGTCAGATGCTTCTTTTTCTTCCCCAGTGCCTGTGTTGACTGAACATTTGCAGAAATGCTCTTCATGATCTTCTCACTGCACGTGACCCAGACTGCTCCTTCCTGTGTGTCTCTGCTTTATGTACTTCAGAGTGAAGCCAACTCTGTCATTTCGCAGTGCCTAACCAACCTCTTGTGGAAATTTATATTCCGGCCTACATTGCAGTCTTTAGTGGCTGACAGCCATAGAATTCAAAACCAAGTAGTGTCTATCAGCCTTCTTAACTGTGTGCGCCCCCTATTTCAGTCTCTTGTGTTTGTTCTTCCAGGGATTGTATGCATCTCTGTATATATTTTTCCTCTCAGAACATCAACACTGCTGTTTCTGACACTTAGACATCCCACGCCAAGCCGCATTGAATTTTTGCCAAATGAAAAACGCATCCAACAATCAAGTTTCTAAGAAGGTGTCAAGTGGGGAATGATAATGTGCAATAATGGAGAAATGAATTTATTAAAAAGAAGCAGAAGCATTGACCATTTTTTCTCCAGGAAGGAGTAGAAATCTGTAGTGAGCATAAAGGCAGACTGTGAGTTCTCCTTAAAAAAGCAGTATTCTCATAAAGGAGAAGCACCACTTAAGTTTTTTTAAACTAAGACAAGAGAAATTAGGTAAGAGAGTTTATATATATTTTGTTAATCTTTCTGAATTTTTTTAAGGAGGGAGTGATGAGGGAAAGGAAGTTAATACATATGGAATGCATAGAAACTTCCAAAATAAAATTCCATTGATGGTTGAAATAAAAAAAAGAAAGAGCTACAAAAGGAAATAGGAAAATTCACAGTCCAAAATGAGAGATTTTAATAGACTTCTTTCAGAAATTTGTAGATCAGGTAGAAGGCTCCTTGGGTCCATGAACTCACCTGGAGTTACTTTCCACCCTCTGAGTTGGATTAAACACATTTGAGAGTAGCTAAAGAAGATCCAGTTGGCTTCCCACGTGGCACAGCGGTAGAGAATCCACCTGCAATGCAGAAGACACAGGAGTCTCTGGTTCCGCCCCTGGGTTGGGAAGATCCCCCGGAGAAGGAAAAGGCAACCCACTCCAGTATTCTTGCATGGAAAATTCCATGTACAGAGGAACCTGGCAGGCTACAGTCCATGGGGTCACAAAGAGTTGGCCATGACTGAGCACACACACACAACAGAACAACACAAAGAAGATCCAGTCGACTGTCTGAATGCCAAGATTATTGCTTCCTGCTCTACTTTGCAGCAGTCCTACCCCCTGATGATTGTCAGGGCCAATCATCCCTACCAGTAAAATAAGTCCCTTTTTAACCTGTGGGGTAACTGGCATAAAAAGCCTAACATGACCCGGTAGCAATAGCAGCTTTTAAGTTTAGTGAGATTCCTCCTGTGGACCCTATAGAAGCATCTCCCTCTGGGAAACAAGATCTCTCGATCATAGTCAAGAGCCTAAGACTGTGGGAGCAGGAAGCACAATCCCCAAGTGTGTCACTGGGAGTGACAGTGTGTGGGGCTGCCTCCATGGGTTCTGTTGGGGCACCTGTTTTAGCAAACGGTGAATGGGGCATTGCCCATCAGCCAAGGTCTATGGTCAGGAGAAGAAGGCACCTGTGGGTTTTTCTCAGCCTACCTTTCATCAGCTGGGGCTTCGCTGATGGGCTTTGCAAAGAGCATCTTGGTGGTCACCAAGAGAGTCTGCTATACTCACCTACTGCTCAGGAGAGCTTTAGGAAAGAAGGCTTAATTCACCTCACTGGCTTAAGTACTCCAACGTGCTGAGGTGCTGGCCAGCTAAGAGTAACAGAGCATGGAATGAACAGTGGAGGAAGGATGTTATACATATCACCTAGTGCTCTGACTAGTTGAAGAAGAAAAAAAGACGATAGCAGCCACCCCCGGTCTCTTGCTTGACCTCTTATTAGTATATTGTGCATAGTTACAAATTTTCTTTCCCTCCACTCACTTTCCGCTGCTAATTAATACAAATCAGCTGTAGATAATTTAAAATTTTAGTTCCTAAGATAGTGGGTTGGCCAAAAAGTTTGGGCTTTTCTATACGATCTCATTGGCCAAGCCAATATAAACTATCAAAAGTTCAGGTGATAGCAGAAAGTTTTAAAAAATCCGTTTGGAAATTCAATTAGGTGTTTGGTTTGCCCTAATTCTTTGAGCCATCTCTGAAGCAAATAAATGCTTGCTGAGGTTCTAAAGCCTATGGGTGGGGAAGGTTAGGAGGCGAGGAAGGGAGGAGAAAAGAAATGGCAAGCCACTCCAGTATTCTTGCCTGGGAAATCTCATGGACAGAGAAGCCTGGCAGGCTATAGTCTATGGGCTCACAAAGAGTCAGACACCATTGAGCAGCTAAACCAAAATGCTTAATATTACCAAATTTTCATCTGATACATAAAGTCAAAATTTATTAAAATGCATTGATTCATATTGATATAAAAGAATAAATAAATAATGGGAAAGAAAAACCTCTTCCTTATAATAGAATGTCAACTAAAATGTAGAAAAATAGCATAATAAGAATGAAAAATCAATATAATAATAACTGATTCAGGCAAGAATAATCAATAAATGCTAAAACTAGTGGGTGAAAGTTTAATGAGAAAGAGGATTTGCATAATTTCTAAGTTTAAGCCCACAATATACTTTTAATTGACAAGGGGAAAATAGTAACTTTAGATATGAGAAATGTGGTAGATAGGACTGTAAGAGATCAAAGTTGACATCTCTCATAAGAGTACAGATGGGCATAATATGTCTCTTAACATTACAGTGCTTCTGTAAAAAATTCATATTTCTGAATCTAACAGAAAGAAAATAATATGAACCTAAATGGAGAGACATGACATGAAAAATTTGGTTTATCATCTTAAAAAATGTCAGTGTTATGAAAGACAGTGACTGGGGGAAATCTTACCAGGTTGAAAAAGCTAAAGCAACGCCACCTGAATATGATGAATAATAAGGGAGTTTTCTTTTGTTATTAGTGATGTTATCAGGATAAACTAGCAAAATTTGAATAATGAAATTAGATCCAAATTTTGATCATTTGGATCTGGTTCCTATAAGAGAATATTTTAGGACAACACACTAAAGAGGCATCTTCAGCTAATACTCAAATAGTTTAAGGGGAAAAATAGAGCATTGGTTATCTATTTCTTTGAATGAATTATCCCGAAACTTAGAGACTTAAAAAAACAATAATATTTATCCATTAATGCTTATCCAAGTGAATACCCTATGTTCACACAAAAATCTGTATGTGAAGATGTACAGTAGCTTTAGTCATAATTTCCAAAAACTGGAAACAACCAAGATGTTCTTCAACAAGTGAAGGAATAAATATACTGCAGTGTCCCCATACAGCGGAACACTACTCAATGAAAATGAATAAGCCATTGATTTGTGCAATATGAATGAAACTTAAAAGCATTTTGCTAAGTGAAAGAGGTCAGACTCGAAAGGTTATATACTCTGTGATTCAATTCCTATGATACCACTGAAAAGGCAGACCTGTAGGGATGGAAAACAGATCAGAGCTTGGAGGAAGGGAAAGTGGTTGACTACAGTGCAGCTGCATGGGGAACTTTTTTAGGGTGATGGAACCGTTCTGTATGGTTTCGGGACAGTGGAGAAATGATTTGTTACATTTGTCAAAATCCACAGGGCTTTCACAGTATGCAGATTTAAAGGACAAACCAGGATCCTGGGGGAGAGGAGAATCAGTCTGAAGTGCAGGTTGAGACAAGTGACTCTAACTGTATCATGAGAGTATGACACAACCTAACTGAAGGGATTGCAGAAAAAGGAGCTGACCTAAGTAACTTTGGAAAATGGTTTTATGGCTGAATACTGTATGTCAACAGTGGACTCTAGTAAGCTGTTTCTCTCAGTGGTATAGGCTAGTAATTCCAAAATTACTGTACATGTTTACTAGGGTTGAACAAATAAGTAAAGATGGTGAAGATAAATGGAGCCAGGTTTCTTACTTTCAGAGAAAGAAGTTAGAATAAAGCAAAGCAAGAGTAGGAGGCAGGACTAGACTGGATTCCCGTTGGAGACACTACTGGGATATCCTGACGTTACTTTGACGTCAAATTATCATGATGATATCTCGTTTCATGATCTTTATATACTGATGTGGAAGTAAAAGAGGCTTCCCAGGTGGCTCAGTGGTAAAGAATCCACCTGCCAGACGGGAGATGTGGGTTTTATCCCTGTGATGGGAATATCTCCTGGAGGAGGAAATGGTAACCACTCCAGTAAGCCTGCCTAGAGAATCCCATAGCCAGATGAGCCTGGCAGGCTACAGTCCCTGGGGTCGCAGAAGAGTAGGAGGTGACTTAGCCACTAAACAGCAACAACATAGTAATAAATGCAGATATGTGGTGATAGATGAGTCAGCACACACACATTTCCTTGCTCTGTCCACTGAGAAGATGTAGGAACAGTGATACACCAGTCGCAGTTAGCGGAACCAGATGTTAGATTTTAGATGCCATTCTCTAGAAAAAGGAACCAAGACTCCTTAGAAAAACAGCTGATTTTAGGGCTGGGGCAGGAAATACACATGATGAGTCTGGAGCATCATTTATTGCCAGAAAGTAAAAGCTAAAAATTAGAATAAAAAAGAATGGGGACATGTTAAAATTAAACAGAACCTAAAAGGGAAGGAAACTGAAAAAAGAGGGGATATGTATACACATACATACATATTTATTTATATTCACTTTGTTGTGTAGCGGAAGCCAACACAATATTGTACAGCAACTATACTCCAATAAAAATTTTAAAAAATGTTTTTTTACTCTAATAAAAATTTTTTTTAAAAGTACACAGAAATCAACCTATGGTTGATTGATTCCCAATGGTCAAAGCAGAAAGAATTTGAGCAACAAAGTAGTAACAGTATTAGACCATTATCCAAAGAATAAAAAAAAAAATCCATGAGTTTGTACTGATATAAATAATTAGATATATACATACATACTTTAAGGAGAAGGGTCACATCTTCTTTGGAGGGGAATTCCAAATAACACATGTAGGTACGTTCCCTTCTGGGAGGTGAGGTTTAATTCCTTTCCTCTTTAGTGTGGGCTAGGCTCAATGACTGGAGAAGGAAATGGTAACCCACTCCAGTGTTCTTGCTTGGAGAATCCCAGGGATGGGGTCGCACAGAGTCGGACACGACTGAAGTGACCTAGCAGTAGCAGACTCAGTGACTCACTTCCAAAGAATGGAGTCT